TCAGCCATTTCAACCCAGTAAGATGAGATAACAGTACTCTAGGAATAAATTTACCAGCTACTTCCTGGAAAGAAAAACACTGTGTACCACACTGTAGCTCACAGCTGCAGGAGTATATCAGTTGCAGAAAGTGACCAGGAGTATTATTAATCCTCAGGAGTATATCAGTTGCAGAAAGTGACCAGGAGTATTATTAATCCTCTAGAGTAAGATGCTAGTTTATTGCAGATAAGCCCCTTGCATTTCATCAAGTTACCCTGAGTGGAGACACCCACTGTGGAAGAGAATTGTTGTGCCTAAGAACACAACACTATGACCCCACAGAGCTGGAGCCCAGACCATTCCATCCAGAGGCCAGTAGAGTAGCCCCTGTCGCTCTGTCTCCAGCCTGTACACAGAACAAAGAAATTACTGATTACCTGGCAGGATGGGCATTTCCATTTGCCATTTGCAACTGTACCAGAATGAGCACACTTCCTGTGAAACACACGAGGACAGTATTCACATGCAATCACTTCTCCTGCTTTGTGACATTCCCAGCAATACCAGTCATGAGTGTTGGAACTCAATTTTTTCTTTTGCTTCTCTATTTCATCCTGATGACAAAGAAATAAATAAAAAAGGCAATTCTTTACAGGCTTTGGTTTAAGTTTTGAAGAAAACGGTTAGTTGTGTAAAGCAGGTGATATTTGGTGGCAAGCTGTGATAAAGTCAACCACTAACATATTGCTGTTGAACCTTGAGTTTATAACAAAAGACATTAATGAAACTTTTTATAGAAGCCAGCTACAACAGCTGAATGTCAGATGTTATACACAGATCTGATATGAAATTCAGAGCACAACTGCTGAATAACCTTCAACCCTGTCAGCAAAAAAGTCTATGTACAATGATTTTTATTAGTCTAAAGTACTCAGCTAACAATCATACAGCAGAAAACTTATGAAGGCAAAAAAAACAACAAACAAACAAACAAAATTAAAACTGAAATTAAGAGCACTTAGAATTCTAAAGTATTTTTCTGGTAACTGAACTGGATTGTTTAATATGATTCAGGGCTAGAGAGACTGTGATGGAGATGAAGCTAATGTGACAAAGGGGTTGGTGTAGTGCTAGTCTAGACACCACTTTGGTGACAAGATGTTTGAATGTTTTGAATTAAAAGTGCCCGATATTGTCTGGTTTACTTCCGTCGCGAGAAAAAAAATTTGCATATAATGTCTGTTGACATTGACCACTTCCATCTTTATGACAGACATTCAGCCTATCTGATTGCTGTTTCTTCTTTTAATGCGAGCACAGAATTTCATGTAGTTGTGCTTCAACTATCAAACAAGGCCAAAAAGGAAATTTTTTTTTCAATTTTCCACCCAGAGGTTAAGAAAGATTTTCATCCCCTGTAACATGGTCTCACTGACCATGCAGGCAGTTCTGGTCCATTAGTATTGTCCTTTAGTGGAGGTTAAGATTATCAAAGACAAGGCTCCAGCAGTGTAACCATGATTTAATTCAGCAAACCTTCCAAGGTGAAACAAGAATTTGCATACATTGCTAGCACATGACACCACACCACTAAAAACGTTCCCAGCATGCCCAATTGGCACTGAAAATGCAGCATGTGACAGAACACAGGCTCTCCAAACAATCAGCACTATAATAATATATAAATGATACTACCTCAAAGCAGGTTGACTATAAGCATGAAGTCCATTCTATCAGCTGCTTGCTATGTTCTCATTATGTCATAACTACAAACAATAGCTTACTTGAATATGCATGTAAAGTGATGTCACAAAATTTTTTTTATTCGCTTTTTGCAAGATTGGAACTAGAAATGTCAAGACCTAGGTTAGCTTTATCCACCTCTGCCTTTTGTTTCAGCAGATAAAACACCTCTCATCCTTTATAATTCTTGCAACTGCACTAAACATCCTCCAGTTATCATTGTTAATTATTTAGAACTCTCCACAAATGAACCAACAAGTCTTGTTTTGTGACCCCTCAGGGAATCTGTCTGAAACTCTAATCTAAACTACTTCATCCTGTCTACCAAAGGTAGAATTAAGTGCCTCGAGAGAATCTACCATGTCAGAGACAATAGGACTGACACTTTGCTCTCTTGGCTAAGACTGAACTCCTAACCATGTAGTTATGATAGTGGACTTGACAATTTTTTATTTTGACCGCAAACTGGTTTTTAAAAGAATTCTGCTACAATAACTTCAAACCATAGTGACGATATCTAACTTTTTGGATGTCATACATAAGATATGCAAATGACCTATAACAAAAGGTTTTCGTAATTTGAATGGAGGTTTGATGCATGAAAGTGGCTTGCACTACAGTGATAAACTATAAGGCTATTAACAAAAATGACTTGTTTCATTGCTTTAAGCTTGTTTTAAATACAAATAAAACTTTTTCTTAACCTAAGGATTGAGATTACTATCAAGAACGAACAATATCGCTTCAACAAAGCAATCGATTGTTTCTTCGTAAGATTAAGGTTTTCAAAGCATCGACACCTACAAAAGTCAGAATCAATGGCTCAAATATTCTCTCGTTATGCTAAAAGCACCATTTTATCATAAAATTGAAATTACAACCGTCAAACTAGGGAGTATTTCTACAAATTCTGTATTGCGAATGCATTTTGGATCGAAAATCGTTCACGCGAAAAAGCTGAAAAAAGTATTAAATAATTAAGAGCTGAAGGGAAAGTAAATTATACCAACACGGATAAAAAAGATGCAAATGAAGTCAGAAGCCGGAACCAATGAACAGATTAAGTCTGAGAGACTAAAAGGAATGAGAAGAACACGAACCGGCTGAGTTAGTGCAAAAACCCGAGAAGGGGTAATGACTCGAGCGTTGCACGAGTGAGAAAGTTGCCATGTTTAGAAACGACCCAAGCGTTCCTTTAGTTAAGCTAAATGACGTGGAGTTAGCAACGCAACAAGTCAAACACTTGTTAATTCAGGGCAACAGCATTTAAGTGACCGCAAACAGTAATAAATATTCATAGACAAGCTTCTTTAACGTGGAATACAACAATGAGACACAAGCGCTGCTAATCTGCATGATAAGGACCATCCGAAAAAGCAGAAATACACCGGCTTGGTCGCACGACACACAACTCGCTATGTTTTAGCTCCGGAGGAAATGATTAAATCCCCCAACAGAATGATACTCTATATTCGAAAGAGTTCCATTAATAAAATTTTTTTGTATTTTTTCATGTCATGAATATTCTTGTTTTGTTAAAATCTCAATTTGCATGTTCGGGTCAGCATGATGGAAAACCATCGAAGTGTAACTGCCTAAACAGAAATGCTTCAGACGCACAAGAATAGTTACAAACATGACCTAAACGATCACAAACGTCGTCTTCACTCTCTCAACGGTAAAACCAGTTAGAGATGGGACCAGTCATCGAAACGCCCCCGCTCTTATAAGCCTTTAATACATAAACAATTGGAAGTAGTAAAACGAATCCCGAATACCACTTCCTGCGCGATGAATGTGCGCGTGTTCTAAGACATGAAACCATAGGTACTCACCTCGTCTTCGCCATCTTTCCGAAGAATCCTGTAAGCAGTTTGAGGGATTCCTTTAGTACTCCCATGGCTAGAAAATGTAGTCACCTGAAGAATCAAACCATCTTTAACCGCGAACTTTAACTGCTTCTGTATCTCCGTTTTACTCCAATCGAATTCTTGAAGGACCGATCGAACAATCCTGCCTTCATTCGGACACTGTTTCTGAGCGGATATCTTAACGATGGCCTCCTTCAACGCTATAACAAAGAACGGATCAGAGTGTCTTCTGACAGAAAACTTTGCCATCACAAACACACACGCACACTCTGTTTCCCCAATGTGTCATGAGAACAGAAGGGATTATGAATAATTCGCGGGCCCTTGTCGCGTCAACGCATGCTTTCGAATGTTTCACGGAACGCGATCGAGTCCACGAACTCCTTCCGATGACGTAACGGAAGAGGGCCGGAAAGGAATAAATTCTAAAAGGAGGAACACATCACGCAACTCAACAATAATGATATTGGACGACTCGCCATTTGCGTTTAATTTTTCTCAATTCAAGAACCCCCCCAAAAATCGATATCATGTCAAGAAATACAACTGCAAAATAACTATCACTTGATATGATATGAGATATATTCTATTTAGTCCCTCTGAAAATCGTGAATGGGACGAGATGGAGATCATAGATATGGCGACCTTGGTTACTCATGGACTTAACGATTCTCGATTAATAATGACTCTTCCATTTCCTGCTTTATCTTACATCACTTCAAACCACACTGGTCAAGTGTCAACGAGAACCCAAGCTCCGTAATATCCTGGGTCACGTTGACAAAAAGTTACTTGAAAGCATAAGCTTTACTGAAGGCTAAAACAATATCCAAAGGTTCTTCCGTTACCACTCGCATATTGACAACATCTTCGAACTCTTGTAGATAGATATATAACGTACTTTAACGAAGAAACTATGCGACTGAAAAGGGGAAAGCAAGGGTGGAAAGAGAGGTGTAGATGAAAACTTCATGAGTAATTGGGCGAGCAAAGAAAGTGGTTGGGTTGGTGTAAGTAAGATTCAACAGATTCATTGGACTCTAATTAATTCAATCACCATTACTCAAAATCAGTCACGTAAGGTCAGGAAAATTAGAAATAATAGCCTCAATTGCCATATTTTTCATTCAAATTGATTTTCTTTCCTTACATGTCACGTTTACTGTATGGAATGAGGACTGTTACTATTCTCAGGTAGTTTGTCTCTTTTTCAGAAAAAAGGGCCCTCTTGACCATCCTCTCTGGTCAGAAGGGATGCAAGGTTAAAATTAGAAAACATCAATGGAGGAATATCATCCTCAAGTGTTCGGCCACTTGAAAACTTAGTTTACCAGTACCAGATGAAACAGATACAGCTGATTAGCATCAAATATAATACTGTATAAAAAAAACCATCCGGGCTGCTTACAGAACAAATTTTATTTCCCTGTTGCTTCCTAACAACTATTTCCTATTTAATGTCAACAGATATTCAGACAGAGATAATGACACAAAAATTCTAGATTGAGAAACAAAACAGATTTACAACTTGAATTAATCAGCCAATCTTATTTACAAACATATTTACACTAGTTAACAGTGAACACCAAAAAGTTAAGAATCACAAGAAATGAAATAACAAAAGTTGAAGTGAAGCTGGTTCCATAGTTTCTTTAGTGACAAGTACTTTGCTTCACATCAGAAAGGATGAGGATATGATCTCTGATCAAAGGATAACATGAACCAATTTTTTTTAAGACTAGTAATACAATGACAAGAAGAGGCATGGTAAGAAACAATTAGTCTTCTATGGTGATCACTTAAAAATAGTCCTTGTAATTGTCATTAACTATTGCTTATGATTGTCTATACAGCATTTCCTTAAAATCTTGCTCTTGCTTTTGAAATAGCAACTAGATGGAAGTGGACAATGAGTGTTCTGCTGAGCCAGCTCAGGAACAATTGTTTACGAAACATCTGCAAAGAGAAACAAGACATGTATCAAAATATAAATAGGAGATATGGCAAGAAGTAACATCAAATGAACATGCAATATTGACAGACCAGTAAAATTGAGGGCTGTAGTGAAAACTGTTTTTTTGTCATTCCTTAGACATGTGAATATATCTAATTCACATGGTGGAATAAAACAATGGCGTTTATGTTCCCAGGCATGAATTTGTTTTGGGGCCCAATTCACAATCATTTAAACCCAAGCAGGCAGGGTTACATTGACTCTGAGAATGGCCCAAAAAAATAATTAAGCCCAAGAACAACCTGTATTACTACTTTCTATTATTACTTTGGAGGGCATTGGAAAAAAAATGAACTAAACAAAACCGTCTGAACAATCATGCAAAAAAATTGAGCAAAATTTAAAACATCCATTTTAGCCTGCAAAATGTGCCAAAATACTGGACATAGTGGTTATAATGAGAGTTGAACTCTTCTTGTTCAACAAGTTTTTAGGATAACACAGAGATAATCAGTATCTAGGATTTCTTGTTTGGTTAAGAGAAAAGGTCTTTCAAAGTAACTTCACTTCAGTGTGTTACTTGTAAGCATTCCATTGCTAATTAGAAACATCACAAATAAGAGGGGTGTTGCTCATCATTGGCTTCCCGTGACCTTCACTGGTCTAGAAAAAAGCGATCAATTGCATTTTTCATTAGCTGGAGCAAAGTATTATGAAGAGGACCTGTTTTAGGGTAAAGAAGATTAGAGATTAAAAAGAAGACATCTTTGACAAAATCTTGGTAGCAGCTAACCAGACCAAAATCTCAACTGCCTGCCTTTCTTTAAAAACCTCTCCATCACATGCCATTAAAAAAATTGAATTTTATAAAGGCATGAAAGTAAGGAACTGAGAATGAAACAAATGGTGAGACAGAAAAAGATATGCACTTTTGTAGACTTTTGCCAAAAAAAAATTTGAATTTTGCAATCCTTACATGTTGGTGCAGTCTCTTGAAATCTTCTCTGCACCTGATCATAATTAAACTTGACAAATGCATCATATTGTTCTAAAAAAGAAAAGAGAAATCAAATATAAATAAGAAAATAAGTCACAGTTGAATAATTCTTCCATGAATACATGTAGTTTGGCTAGACAATTCACCAATGCCATCAGGTGCTACTCTTCCTTTCATGATTTTAGCATGTAAATCAACCCTGTTGACTACAGATAAATCTGGTGTCTGGTGTCAGATGACAGAAAGAGATGAACAGACCAAAAATCATAATGTTTGGTCTACAGAGCATTACAGGATAGCATTCCCTAAACTAGAAATAAACACCTCAACAAGGGAGAGAACTTTCCAGTATGCTACTCAAAATGATATTCAGTCACCAACCTGCCAGTTTTTCTCTCAAAACTTTATCGTATTCCTCTGTAACTTGTGCTTCTCTTTCTTTTAGCATTCTTTCACAGATGAGCGTTACTTGTTTAAGAGTGAAAAGAGGTTGTTCTTTCCGTGGGGGAGAAGATCCAGGTGAATATGAAGAGAAAGAACTCATTTCAGGGGAACTTGGACATGGCACTCTGAGATGCTTTCGCCTCTGGAGTCTTCTCCATTCCTGATTAATGCTCGCTGAAACTTGATCTAAACATTGAAGGAAACCAATAAATGTTACATCAATAACAATCCCTGTGTGGAAAAAATTGGCATACTTATTTGAAGTAAAAAAAAAAAAAAAAAACTTCTAAAGAGCCACAAATCATGGAAGGGTGTTTTAATAAGAGATAAAGAACATCTCTCAATCAAATCCTTTTTGTTGATTACTGCAACCAAAATCAAGCAAAGCTCTATAAAGCACTGTTTTTAAAATGGCTTTTGTTCTGTGACTGTGAATAACTCTCCCTGAAGAAAAGTAATGACCCTTAAAATCTTACCAAGATAAGAAACCAAATTACAAAGAATTATCACACCCAAGTCAGTATTTAAAGTAACACTGTAATTCAGCTATATCTTGAATGTCACCACAGAAATACTCATCTTCAAATTCAAGGATCTTAAAAAAAAAAAAAAAGGAAAAAAAAACCATCTTTGCAAAACTTAATAGGGCCAAACAATCTAAGAGAGTTAAAATTTTAAAATTGAGTGGGGCTATGACTAGCAATGGAATGAAGAAAGCTAACAGGGCTGATACTGCCTTCTTAAACACTTCCCTTGCATCTTAAAATGTTGTCCTGGGCTAAAAACCGGTTAAAATATCACATTATCCAAATCTATTACAGAATAGGCTATAAATATGTAAAAGTTCATTTTCTCAATTTTTCTTACAGCTGATGAAACTAAAAACTCAAAGGGATTAGTAATATTTTCAGTTTGGAAACATGATGAAGTCACATGCCAACCTGCACTTCAAAGGAGATGTCATAATCCTACCAGATGAGGGTTTAATAAAAATGACAAAACATCATAAGCAAGGTGAAGCCTGTACTATATACAGCATGACACCAAAAGTTTCTGCTTAAAAGTATAGAAACCTATTAAAGCTACAAAACTCAAACCATGTGTTTCAAACATTCAGCTCAATTCAAATCAAATTTATAATTAATTTTCAGATTTTAAAAGGGAACATATTTTGAGAATGACCACAATCCATCAATATCTATTCATGAAATCAAATCAGAACCACAGGTCTTGTCTAAATATTTAACTATATGCATGGACACAATATATCTTTCATGAAAAACAGCTACATATCGTGGACCATCATAATCATTCATTCTACAAAGATTTCTATGGGAGCAGTTTACCATATCAAACATTTAGTTATGAAAGGATGAATTTAAACAAGCTGTTTTAAAACCAAGAACAATAAGCTCTTCCTATCATAGAAACATACGATCGTTTTCTTTCATATCTTCAAAGAAATTTCTGGTTCATTTGCATTTCAATATGTATACAAGTAAGAAACGAACAGATGAAAGTAGAGGCCTTTTCGCACCATTATACCACATGTTATCATTTGAGCGTAACAATGAATTTATCCAGTTAAATAGAAAGAAAAAAATCACCGGCAAAACACGAATTGACACCCGCTCCTCTATCAAATAAGGCAATCTTTCTTCTAACTTCGTCTCAGTGCAGTGGGCAGACGACATTTGTGAAATTCCATTCAAGTTTGCAACAATTTCGCAAGAATTCTCGAAGTAAACTCGCCCACAAAAACAATTATCCTGAGTTCAATATAACCAGAGCCATAAGAGAACGCCGCAAATATAAACGAATCACATTTTTAACACCAAAGCCTTGAAAGAAATGTGCAACCTCATGAGCTTATCTCGATCTCGTTTGGCGTCATCACACAAGCACAATCGATTTCAGTACCATCTACCTTTGAACTCACATAAATTTTGCAAAATGTTCCTAAGAAATAAACTTGGGAATCAATAAACGTATTCAGTTGTCTCTCTAGTCCTACAAAACAGTAACTTAAACAATGCCGACAGTAATTCTTGTGAAAAGGTAAAAGAAAGTTGAAAATGTATAAGAACACGCAAGAAACAAAGAATACCTTACAGAGACGACGTTCGCCCAACAACGATCGCCTCGATTTTGACTTAAATTTCAAAAGAAATGAAAATTTTTAAATGTTACCCCATTGAAGCTGATGCACTGAGAAAAGTTTTCGCCTTTACAACTTAAAACGGTCTCACTTAAGGATTGTGTCACACTGAAACTCAACGAACCCTATACGTCGCAAAGAAAAGCTCAGCTGTAAAACCAACTATGATATAGCAAAATTAAGCATTACCTTGTGATAATCTTGGAGCAGCGCCACGAAAATGGGATTCCGCTGAGACTGACGGAGGAGGGGTTGATGGTTTAAGCGGAATGCATCTTCTTCTTTTCGGTGAGGGTTGATGTTGAGGCGTAAGAAGAGGGTCAAACTCGTAAGACCTCTTGAGGGTAGCACAAGCCATTGCGTTTTAACTTGCTCCTTCTCGATAAAATTACAAAAAAAGCCGAGCCTAGGGCAGATTGATAATTTAAGACTTGACACAGGACCCGAGAAATGTTTTACAAGGACGATGCACTCAAGATGGTACGGATTTTAACACTAGAATCTCTAAGGAAGAACGTATAGCTCAAGATGGCGGCGATGGTAACTAATTTGGTTGTTTTGAATCGTAGATAATCAACCAATCAGCTTGAAGCAAGCCAAAAGCTTAATTTAGCCTCGAGTCCACGGTGCCAAGTTCATCATGCCAGGGGGAGATGTTTCAACTTTTGTTACGTAAAATAATTATATCCCAGAATCCTTTACAAGTATTGGATAATAAAATCCACACGAACCCCTGAACGTTTCGTAACCCTATCTGCTAGAGAAGAGCTGCTTAAACACTTGTCCACTATATTAGGACTCAAGCTTTTCCAGACGTCTTTCTTATCAGTCACTCAGTTAATAAAAATAGCGAAACGATATTGGACAGCTGGCATCTTGAGCGTTAGCCATCTGTTCATGGCCGTGAGAGTGGAACTTATTTCATGAACTGTTAGCACTAATCGTTCAGTTTTTAACAACTGAAAATGCGCACGTGGCCTTTACCTCATTTTTAAATTAAGACCTTCACAAGATCTCTTTTACACCCCACAAGATTTGTAGTACATGCGCCAGATTTTATGAAGTTGAAATCGTCCAAGGTAACGAGAGGAAAACGGTTAACACCTCTATCCGCTGCTCCCGCTAGTGTTCAAGAAATATCTTAACAAAAGAGGCTACGGTATGTTCTAATGAAAGCCAGAAATAGCAATGGACCTTGTCACACGTGTGGCACGCTCTGAAAATGCTTTTGTGTTGTAATCAGCTATTCTCTTAATATTACATTGACCAGATGTTTCTTAGGCGGTTGGTATGTCAGCTAATATGTTCGCGGCTGAGAGACTGTCCAAATATATTAAAATTTGGCCGAGAAGAAATCATTGAAATAGCGGAGATTTTTTTTAACAGCACAAGTGACCCTTGGTACTATTTATAGTTTTGTTGTTTGTATATGCTGTGTCTTTCATTTTCTCGATCTTCAACCGAAGAATCTTTACCAGTCTCAAACAACCGCACTCAGAATGAATGCAACATGATTTTTTTTTGATTAGGTAAAAATTAAAAGACAAATACAAAACAGAACAAAAGTAAAACAACAACAACAAGAAAAACAAAGTAATACAATACAATCCCAAGAATTTGAAAACATGCTTTCTTTTATTTGCATTTTGCATGCAATTATCTACATTTTTCAGCAGAATACTGACATCACTATCACCCACACAGTCACAGCTGGTGGCACATGGGTCTACTCTCTTGGCTATTGCACATAGTAAAGAGTGTAATTCTTATGGCAAAAAACGTCTGTAAAAGCTAAAATAGTTTCCTATCTAATTTTTCTTCAATTGAAGGGATTGTACCTCATAGGCTTGTGAGAGAGACAACATTCTAAGGTGCAAGCCTGTCAATCAAACTGCACAAACTGGGGAAGGCATTTCATGCTAACAATACCAAACTTACTTATTTTTTCCCCTTGGAAGAAACACGTTGAAGAATACTCTGACACAGTCTTTTCAATGCCTCTGGTGATTTGATCATAGCTAGCAAGGCAGAAAACCCATAAAATCGTCTCTTGGACAGGAATTCCTCTTCATCAACAACTTTCTCATCATCAATAACATCCTCATCTTTGACTATTCTACCGAGGCTTTTCAAAGGCACACCAATGCTATTCACAGATCTTGACCTGGGAGAATCAGTTGATGCCTCAAATTTGCAACCCTCATGCACGTCATTTCTAGTTTCTCTGGCTTCTGAATCAGTTTCACTAATAACACATTCTGGGAATTTTTTTCTATATTGTTGCAGTCGTGCCAGCCACTCTAACCAATAAGATTCACACATTTCCTGTGACAGACAGTGAACATCTGCCGGGTCACCATTTTCATATGCAATAACTATCACTCCATTACAAACCTGTAGGTGAGAAAAATTATAATTATAGTATTCTGACTACACTATCACGAAACATTCAATGTCAAATAGTTTATTGAGGAATGGTCAGTCAGTCATCCGACAACAACAATGTGTCGTAACATATACTTATTACAACATAGAATATGCTAGCAAGTCTAACTTGAAAAGCTTGAAAAATTAAGTGTACCATGCCAGATACGAAAAACCACTAAAAAACCACTCTTTAGATGTGGCCAAAAAATATGTGGAAACGTATTCCCCATCTAATGCAGTGGCACGGAACCTCGGGAAAGAGGTACAAACAAACCCATAACTCCATAGAAAAAATTTAACAAAATTGACAACAGCAAACAGAAAGACTGACTGAGCTAGAATGATTAATATTCCCCGCTAAAACATTAAATACTCAAAACTCTCCCCTGAGAATACTAAAACCTCTCAATCGTGCCATCAGAATAGTAATTTCTGACTAATTCGTTCCTAGTCACTCAACCGTCAGAAATTACATTTTCTAATGAGAATGACATAAGAAGACTAATCAAAGCTTTATCTCAACCCACTTACTCCAAAGATCTCATTTATCTATTAATTTTCCCATACAATTCAATGTCTGCCACACAATTCTTATAATGCTAATTTGGAGAAGTTGGTATTGGATTAACTAATAATTACCTAATTTATTATTATTTTTTTAATTCTCATCACTTTCCTGCTTGATATCATGATGACATTGTAAGGAGAAATTCTGTCTCATGGAGTTGAAGGATTAACAACTGTTGCACAGCCTACAATTTCTGTGAGTTGTCCTAAAGTCTTGTAAAATTCATGAAAACAAAACAAACCAAACCTGAAATGGATAGTTCTCATCAAAATTTACAGCACCAGCGTAAGCCACAATTTGTTGAGGGTAGGAATAGCAGTCTTTGAGGTTAGTTTTGTGTTTTGCTGAAGTCTTCCAGTCTATCACACTCAGTGTACCCTTATACTCTGCAATAAGGTCAAGAGTCCCAGCATATTGTAACAAAGGATGCGCCACAGCACTCTCAACAGCCACTACATTTGTAACATCCTTTAACACATGTTTGACACTCTGCCAATATCCTGCATCACTTGAACCTTCCTCTAGAACTGGTACATTACTGCTGTTAAAGTACAGCTGAACAGCCTATTAATAAAAAATACAGATATTAACCCTTTACACCCTAACATCTGTAGGCATATTCTCCCTACTGTTCCTTATACAATCTCTGTGGTAATGACAAGGAGAATTTGTTTAATAGGCAAGAGTTTCTTTAGATGGTGATCATTTCCTTTATTCTAGTGAACTTAATGTTTGATTCTGGGGTAATATTCTAAGGAGAAATTAGATACTAGTCACTCTTTGGGGTCGGAGAGTTGATCTTCTTCTCTCCACATAACTTTTGTAAAATTTTGCAAAATAAGCATGCTTTAAATAAAGAGTTTAAACTAACTTATTTACTTACTCACTTACACTCTCCCTTATAATTAACCAGTTATTTCTTCTAGGTGAAGCAATTACATGCATTATGAATCATCACTTACTTGATGAAAAAGTTGTCCCTTCCTAAAGGTGATTTGTGCTTGCTTGTTAAACTTTTTCTTTCCTAGCTCAGAAATCTGAGCTTTCCTCCAATTTAGCAAAGCAAAATGTTCATTTGGAGGCTTAGTTTGACCAAGAATTGATGTTACACTGGGATACTTGCCGAGGTAGATTCTTTCGCCATTTTGATTTCTGTTCATGTACTGCAGTGAGAGTGGTGACTCCAACAATGAAGAAACAGCTTCCTGATTAGCTCCCCTGCTAGGATTTACAAATAGACTGTGAATCTCACTCTCAGCACCATCTGTATCATTATCCAGTTGTGAAATATTCTAAAACAAAGTTCACAGACCCATGAATAACTTCAAAGTAACAATAAAATGGAAAACCCAACTTTACCACAGTCACCATTTGAGCTTGTAACACAACATGCTCCCTTCTCCTCAATGGGGAGCATGTTATCCAAAACAACCTGAATGATAGCTGCAAAGGAGTCTATAGGTATAGGGGAATTGGGAAAATGTGCTCATAAATATATTACTTAATTGTTATTCTGGAGTTGTGTTCTTTACATTTTACTGTGCCTAAACCTCAGATGGCAACACATGGTTTATTGGATTCAATTAGAGCTTTGGTTCATTATTGAGGACTTTCCTGTCTGTTGTGTTTTTGTTTTCATTATCTTTTATCTTTTTGCTGTGAATTCTTTTCAGCGCTCTTCGGAGTTAAGTGAAGGGCTTGCTAATTCCGGAGAAATGGATGAGGTGTTTTTTTTTTCAGCCAAAAGTTATATTAAACCTCAAAATACGTTTTTTCCTTGGCCTTTTTTTTATAGCACTGGTGACAAGCACAAGCAGCACTTTAAAGTCAATTCTCCCCACTAGCTATCTGCCGCATAATTTAACATTGGGTCTGATAAGTTGGTGTTACACGTCAAAATTATCCCCTGCAGTTGGATATCTTTCCTTAAATTCTCGCATGAACTTGAAATTTTTTGATACGGTAAGGAGAATAAAATTATTTGAAATTCCTAGGGGAGAATACGATCAAAAGTAAAGAGACACTATCGATTGAAACATTACAGACTATCATCAACTTGAAGTGAAATGTGAAAGTGCTCTGTTCAATATATCGAGAAATTACTGTTGTACCTTTGGGTTGGTTTTGAATCTAAAACCACAACGATTCCAACGTAGTAACAGCTTTCTGGAATATCCGTAAGTTCCTTGCAATTTAAGAAGAGCCATCTTAATCAAACGATGGCAAGAAATCTATTTACGGGTCTTTACCGTTGCAACATCCCAACGTACAACTTCATCCGCCATCTTTCTATTAGTTAGTTGCAAAAGACTGGGTGCTAGGAGATGTCAACAAACATGTCGGACCATGACTACGCTTTCAAGGTTCTTGTTTTGGGAGATAGTTCTGTTGGAAAATCCAGTCTGATTAGAAGATTTCACTCAAATGTTTTTGATAAACGACTTCCTACGACTATTGGAGTCGACTTTTTTATCCACGACCTGGAAGTAGACGGGAAGAAAGTCAAGGTAAGTAAAGGCGGCAACGTGCAGTAATTGGGAACAATCTGGGAACGAAATTGCTGACATGGTGATTGTTACCACAAACCTTTTCTTCCCTTTACAAATGTCAGTATGTGCATTGGATTAAAGTTGAGTATTGGAGAAGGGCATCAGTCCAATATTTAAGCTTTAAATGTTAGTTTTTTTGTGCATGCGTGTTATTTGGGTTTTGGAAATTTATTACGATCATGTCTTCGACGATCACTCCAGGTGGTCTGTACCTACTAAATTGAACCCCCGGAAATTATGCTTTGATTTACTTTGGTTTTGGTTTCTCAGCACTCAATTGAATTTTCCTGTTGCTTTAAGCTGAATTATATGCATATTGGTGTCATGTACTTTTCGTCAGCTTCATTTGTGGGACACAGCAGGTGAAGAGAGATTCAGACAGAATGGACTGACCAGCTCCTATTACAGGGGTGCTCAGGGCGCACTCATGGTGTTCTCTCTGTCATCACGCAAATCATTTGAAAATATCCAGACTCACTGGTTGGAGGAATTTTACCAGAAGAGGTAATCAAATTCTCAGTATTTGTGCCTGTGCAGATTTACCACCTTTAAAAATAACATCCTGCATCCCTCATCACATGTTAATGGTCATTTGATGCTAAAAAAAATATTTGTTAGTTTCACTTTTGGAGGCCAGAAAGCTAGCCCAAATCTCAATAACTAACTGGCTGTATAAAATTCTACATTTTCAGCAGTGGATCAGATACAGTTACAGTTTTAGTGGGTAACAAATGTGACTTGGAGGATAAAAGAGAAGTTGATGAAGATGACATAAGGGTATACAATTTTAATAATTTACTATACATGATTTTTTTTTTCAAGTAATTAAAAATCTAAACCAGTTAGAGGCAGAGACCAATTGGCTATTTTGATAATGCACCCAATAGGTTTAAAGCTCAAGGCAAAATAGAAAGTGTTTGGCTAGGACCTGGGTGGAGGGCTTGTGCACAAAACCATTACTAGTCCAGCACTTTTGCCTTTCAGTTGTGTAATTATTTTTTTGGTTTCTTTTACCTCACAAAAGGAATTTGCAGAGTTGAATTCCATGTGTTGGTTAGAAACAAGCGCCAAAGACTGTACTAATGTGAAAGAAGCTTTTGAAACAATGGCTTACAAACTGTGTGAGAGCCATGAGCAGTATCTGTCATTTTCATCAGAGAACAGCATTGGACCAAGTAGTTTTACCCTTCATGGAGCCTATGGTGTGCCTGAACAAACAGAAGGCTATTGTTCTGGTTGTACTTCAACAAGTTAACTACAGTTAAATGATTACAGTGTTAAATGATTGTTTGTCTTGTCACAACTGAGAATAGCATAGGAGAGATTCTGATCCTGTTTCTTGCATAAATTTTAGAAAATTCATGTGTCACTTATTTAAAAAAAAAGAAACAAAATCTCTGTGCTTGTGTTCAAGGTTTCAGTGAAATCTTGAGGTTTCCATAAAATAAAAGAACAAATTCACAAGTCATGTACATTTCATGAGGCAAATCAGGCCATAGGCTGATGATAAATTCATGAATTATGCGCCTATTTAAAAAATTCACATATTGCATATAAACTCTATGGTTCCATACACATTTTTAATGTTGAAACACTGTAAGTAAAACACGCCTTGTATGGAGGCTGTTTGAGATTGGGCAGGCAAGGCCAATGTATGAGAAGATCTAGGCCACAGTCTTACCTATAAATCAGCCACAGTCATTCTTTGAGATATCTCTCCTACACACAGGGTTTCACTGGATTTTAAGTGTGTTATCTAAGAGTGCAGTTGAGCTTTTAGTTATTATTGCACTCTACAATTTATGATGTAGGTCACAGTCTACTAGGATAACAGCATTCTTTTGAGGAAGAAAATAGTTAATAGAAGTAAAGGTAGGGTTCAGTTCTTCCCTCCACTTAAGCCTGCATACCAAACCCCCCAGTTGAATCTGACTTTAAAAAGAGGAACATTGAAAATTAATTAGTTCTGTCTGGTTCTGTCTGGAAGTAAGAAGATACATTACTTTCAGCTTTTTCTTCTTGTCAGAATTCATATTTGTGCTTTCTCCAAGGCATTAGTGAGAATTAGCCATAGCTAGCTCAACTACAAAATAGCAACATTTTCAAAATGCACCAATCATATGTAAATAGAAAGTCTCTAAATATTAGAAAGCAACATTACATGGAAACTAATGTCAAGTTTAATGACTGCATAAGCAACATGTTTAATAGATAAGTTTTCTGACAGTCATAATGTTAAGAATGTAAGTTACTGGTAGTTACTTCTCATTTATTTTATGTTATGGTTGTAGTTACAAAATAGACTTAATGGCAGGTATTTGATAACATCATATTCAATTTGAAAACCTAATTTTTAAATGAATACAAATATAAATGACCAGTTGTTTTTGTTGTTAAGTAGCAAATATAAAAAGGCCATTACAATCCCTTATGAAGGAACCTATTGATTCTTTACACTAAGTTGGAAGCATTACAGGTTGTTCTGTATGCTTCCAATACACCGAGAGCAAAAATACATATTAATTTAAGTAGTAGTTATCAGAGTCTTGGCCAACACTAAGCAATGAAAGATAATCTTTGGCAAATAAATATCAGAATAGTTAAACTCATAATATACCAGGTAAAAGAAAAGTATGATAAATATAGTTTGAACTCTGTAGTACATTATGCACTTAATGTATGGTCCTGAGGGGAAACAGTTAGTTTTGTTTTCCCAAGAGTCCCAATGTTTCCTGAGAGGAAGTTGAGGGAAACATCAGGACTTAAGGGAAAACAAAACTAACTAGTTTCGTGAGGGATCATACATTAAGAGCTTTGTTATATATTTAGAGTTTCCCTTAAACAATCATGGCAAAAACATGCTGTTATATTTGGTGCGCAGGCAACAACTGTGCAATTGTAACCCCTAACCCTAACCCTAAAACCAATCACAGTGCTTTGTTGAGTGAAAGTCTGGGTATATAACAATTGCATTTGATGGCTGTGACAGTTTTTATTGTATCTCTAAATTTGTATGTTTGCTATAATTGGTAAATTAAATGGGCAATATTTCACTGTAGTGCCCACTAAATTCAAAGGGTTGTTTAAACTGTAATCTTCCCCCTCTATTTGAGCTCAAAGATGTAGTAACTACCTTCTTAAACTCCTTTTCTCAGTGTGTACTCCAAGTTACATAACGCTGTTATTATCTGCTCGGATTTACTTTCTGTGCACTTTGTATATATGCCTGGGCCATAAATCTGAGCAGAAAAAAACTTGAGTCCATAACTTGCGGTATGGACCTCAAACTCAGTTAGTAAGAGGCATTTCTTGCCTGCAGACTGAGGTATTTTAATTTCTTCTGCCTTTTAGATGAGAAGTTTATCAGGCCCCAAACTGCTCTTACTCCCAGCTTTAAAACATTTACTCAGGAGTAAAATCTTTATAGTATCAACCTCAAAGATAATGAAAGCAAAGAGGTGCATGAGATACTTAAGTAGAGCTCAATATTCCCCTTAGCTCCTTTTTCATGTCAAAAAGTGTCAGTCAAGGCATTGATTAGTCATCAGGATTAAATAGAGTTAGGCCATTATTAACCACCAGACATTTATCACAAATTTACCACTAAAATCACATAGGGATTGTGTCCTTTAGACTGTGAAGATTGGAGAATTTCTCCAGTTACTTTAGATACTCCTCTTGCTAATACAGTTACATTTCTGAACGAAAACCTTACATATACATTCAGTAGCTTTGGTGTACTACCTGTTGTAAATTTACATTTCAGTTGAGTATAATGTATGCCTCTTGGTTGATGCAGCTTATCAAGGTTATGGAAGCTTCTCATGGATTCTTTTGTAATGGCCATAGGTCAGATTATACATCTTCATTTGTGACAACTGCAGATCATCCAGTTTGTATCCAGGTATAGATCCTTCTTGAAAAGTCTTGTATGAAAAGCCACATGGCGCACCCTGAGTAAAATCAGTTGTTAATGTCAAGGGGACAATTCTAACACTACAAAAATAATCTTCAAGCTCTAGGGAGTGCAGGAGATATGACAGCAAAATGGTAGCACTTGTGGGAGATGCCATGGACTAATGGTTAATGCGCTTGACTCTGGGTTA